GTGTTTATGTATAAAGCCAGGAAAAATTTATTACCTGGTGGAATTCAAAAGTTATTTAATGAAAGGGAAGGGGGATACAATTTAAGGGGTCAGTTAAATTTGAAAAATTCATGCTATACGTACAACCAAGAAAAGATTTTGTATTTCCATAAGTGGGGTAAAACTATGGAATAATTTAAGTGTGGACATAAAAAATAGTAATAGAATTGACGAGTTTAAACATAAATATAAAGGTATGTGTCAATCAAGATATGAGCAAGAACAGGCTTAATGATTAATTAGATGGAACATTGCGGGTGTGGTGTATGAATGTTAACACTCTGTAATAATTCTTTAATATATTACTTGTGTGGTGTAGAAGATAATTATTTAAGAATGTAATTATGTAAGAATGTTAACACTCTGTTATAATTTTTTAGTATATTACTTGTGTCGTGTAGAAGAGAATTATCTATGTAGAGATACTGCTTGCAAACCAATGATGGTAAGATGATGTCATGGGGTAGGACTGGATAAGTCTGACTTCTTCCTATTCCATTCAAGCATGTACTAGGTATAAGCAAATTGATATTGGATTAGCATTTGTTGGATATGTGTAGATATATCAACTGTCTTTACATGCTTGAAAGAATAAATTAAATCAATCAAATAAATTCCCAGCTATTCACAGTAAAGGCAAATGGACGAGTGCATTCCCAGAAGGAACAGTGGGACTGTTACCTGTTTGGCGCTCTCATTTTGCTTCACCTGCTCCTGTTTCTTACGTTTTCGACGGCGCTGAAACAGATGCAGTAGTTAAACGTCAGAAAATGCACAATTTTAATAGACATTAAAAGCGATGTTAGGAATTTTGTGCACACCTTCCTCTTGGCTTTACGTCGTTCTGCCTTCCGTCTGACCTTCTCTTCCTCACTCAAATCGTCCTCTCCGTTTAATGCATCCTAAACAGACACACAGAGTCAAACACTGCAGTTTATTTTCACCTTTGCAGTCCTGACATCATCCTGTCAGAGTGACACTGTTTGTTTACCTGTGACAGAGTGGTATCATCACTTGGCTCTGGGGTTAAAGTACCACAGTCCATCTGCTCCTCCTGCTCCTGGGTGCCTGCCAAACAGCACATTAGTACAGTGTCTTCTGCTGTCTTAAATTTTGTCACTATATAAGAAAATGTCTTAATATACAGTAGCTCTCAGATGGTAGTGTGGAAGATCATATATCATTTAGTGCTCTTGTTCAGCAATGCTTGACCAGTATATCCACAAGTGCATTTCTTTACTCTGCTCATGAAAGTAGAAGAACTGTCCAACAGAGTCAAAGTGCATAGTGTCTAATGAAATATGATAAGACAGGCCGCACACTTAGCTTCTACATCCAATGCATTGGTTGTCTGGATGGCAAATAAACCATCCATCATCATTCAAGTCCAAGTCTAATCACTTTGACACCGAGAACAGAATGGAAAACACACATCTAAATAGCACTGGGTGTAGAAACAGGAAGGATGATGTCATGCTTTAACCATGAGACAAAAATGCACACAAAACTGCTCCGCTAGATTGATTCAAGGTGTCTCTTTTTGGTCTTTGATGTATCTCCTCCTCTGCAACATACAGCTGCCTCGAGTACTGATGTTTGAGAACACCCTATCCTGTCTTTTCTCAGAAACCTGGTTGAAAAATAACATGGAAAAGAGCCACTGCCCGGGATGTGTGTGTTTTTGTGTGTGTGTGTGTGTGTGTGTGTGTGTGTGTGTGTGTGTGTGTGTGTGTGTGTGTGTGTGTTTGCTGGGGGCAGAGATCAGATTAAACCACAACCCTGTAGCTGATTTAGGCCTGATGGTAGCAGACGAACTACAAGACAAAAGGAAGCAAACCACTTTACCATGTAGGAATCTAGGTGGTGTCAGAGTTCTATTTGTTCCATGAAAATTTCCAAAGACGTGATCATTTCATACTTTGTGACACATTGTGAGGGCACTGATGAGAATGGTTCTAACTCTGTTCAGTATGGTTTTACTCTCTAATAGCAAGCTGCATTTCTTGTAAGGAGGAAAAAGACAAGCAGCCACTCTGTGTATATTCTCTAGAGTACTAGAGTCTGGTTAACATTGTATAAATGCTCTAAATGTACAGTTGAAGTCAGAAGTGCACATACACATGGGCTGAAGTCATTAAAACAGATTTTTTTTTAACCCCTCTACAGATGTCATGTTAAACTCTCATTGTGACAAGTCGGTTAGGACATGCACTTTATGCATGACACCAGTAATTTTTCCAACAGTTGTTTACAGATAGATTATTTCTTTTATAGTTCACTATATCACAATCCCAGTGGGTCAGAAGTTTACATACACTCAGTTTACTGTGCATTTAGACAGCCTGGTAAATTCCAAAAAATTACGTCATGGCTTTAGAAGCTTCTGATTGACTAAATGACATCATTTGAGTCAATAGGAGGTGCACCTGTGGATGTATTTTAAGGCCTACCTTCAAACTCTGTACCTCTTTGTTTGACATCATCAGAAAATCAGCCAAGACTTCAGTAAAAAAAAACTGTGGACCTCCACAAGTCTGGTTCATCCTTGGGGACAATTTCCAGAACTGAAAAAGCGTGTGCGAGCAAGGAGGCCTACAAACCTGACTCACTTCCACTGGTTCTGTCAGAAGGAACGAGCTAAAGTTCCAGCAGCTTATTGTAAGAAGCTTGTGGAAGGCATCCTGAAACATACCACGGGAATGAGTTGGTGACTCCAAATGTACATAAAAAGTGGAAGGAATTTCAGCTGCCTGTGTCTGCATCGTTACTCAAATGTCAAGAAACAGCCATTGCTAAACCACTGCATCTATATCCCATCAGATGAATCAAGGTTTCTTCCAACATTTTACTGTAAATGGAATTTTCTCCTAACAAAAAAAGTCTGTGGACAAAAGTAACAAACATGTCTCTGTTTTTCCCTCTCAAGCCAACTGCCTAAATTAGAGTTGAGTTGAAAGGTGAGCTCTTTCCACAGGAATGCAAAATAACATCATCAGGAACTGGGACTTTAACTAGGAAATCAGCTTTGTGGGTCATCGTCCCTGCTGTTCTTCAACAGCATTATGCAAAGAGAGAGAATGAGAACATAACTTTATCACTGAAGTGACTCAGTGTTACCACATTAAAGCAGGAGCACACCTGGTAAGTTTTCAGCCTCTCTACAACCAAGCACATGGCTGTAGGACAGCTGTTGTAAATAGAGGTGAGTCTGTAAACATTTAACTTGGTGTGGAGAAGTTGGGGGAAAGCCTGTAATAATCGGAAACGTTTATAAACCGCAGCACATAAAAAAAAAAAAACATTTAATACATGAGAGATTATATCATCATCTATTTCTAGAGGTGATGCTCAGCTGCCTCTGCTGTGGGTTTAAGTTAGCCAGAAAACTAACCTGCTCTGTGGCCTGTGCTGATTGGAAACTAACACCAAGAAAAGGAACAAAGTATAGGCACATGACACGGGTTACATGGAACACACAAACTTCTGCTCACATCACTGTAAAGCTACAGGGCTTCTGCCACCGATTAGAGAAGTTACTGTACCAACACGCTACAGGGAATACGCTTCTAATGTCTGCTAGTTTTGGCACACCTGAACGTTTACGTTATTACTTGCTTCGATGCTGTAAATGTCTATGGGAGAGTGTTTTAGATACGTCACCACAACAACTTTATGGCACCGTGGTTGAAAGTGGTGCAAGTCAGGGTGTAGCTGGCATGAGGGGAACTTTCATTGTTTGACAAAGACCTCAGTCTGAAACAGCGAAATACTCTCACAAGTAAACCAAGTGGTAGGTGCTATTCGCCATTTCGCTGTCAGACTAGTTTCACGGTAGCTTACGGGATCAGTTTAACTTGAGACAAGTTTTAGAAAGTTTTACAAAAGTGGGACGTTTCTTACCGCTCCCGATTCCCAACAGCCTGCATATATCTCTGGTGAACTTCATGAGTGTAACCATCCAGCATTATCGACTCGAGTATCCGATAAAAAAAAATGTTAACAAATATTTATAGTTAGTCTTTTGCTGATCGCTTTTGTGACATCGGGACAATCAGTATCAAATCTCCGGGAATCTTTGGTGGTTTAGTCCACTTCCTGTCAGAGAGCGACGCCTAGTGCGCCCCGAGCAGCGTCTTAAAGGCACAGGACGCCCTTAGCGATTATTGAACGGTTCAGATCTGATCAGAATCATGTAATTAACACTCATTAAGAATGATAATAATATGTATAGTTTAATATCTATAGTTTTTGGACCAACTATCAGTGTGAGAAATATTAAAGTAAGTTTCCATCCAAGTACTCAATCCCATTCTGCCTTTACTCTTTTCTCTAGTGCTCTGATATATATATATATATATATATATTTTTTATTTTATTTTATTTTTTCAGATAGATATTATGTATTAGAAATGTTTAGTGGAGATAGGATGTCTAGTTACTGTTAAATGCTTAGGCATGCA